CACAGTAAAAATCAGTAGGGTAATACACAGTAAAAATCAGTAGGGTAATACACAGTAAAAATCAGTAGGGTAATACACAGTAAAAATCAGTAGGGTAATACACAGTACATGGTCTACACAGACAATGAAGATTATAAGAAGTTGTTACTCCTATACTACATTGAGTATTTTTTGGATATAATTCATTGTTTCTATATTAAAAATTGTTGAAATAGATACTTCATTGACAGAAAAACACTCTTTGAAAAGAGGATGATATCAAAAAACACTGGTTGAAATTATATTTATGTAAACCATGGTTATTTGGACCTATAACTTCTAAGTGTTTAGTGACTTTTAAAATGAACTTAGTTTATAAAAACAAAAAAGTGATATATTACTATAACATAGAAAATGCTAGTCATTTGGATAAATGAGTCAATGTGGGAGCAGAACTTGAAACCATCCAACAGAGACACAAGAAGGGTCATCTTAAGAATACAACCTAAGAAACAAGATTTAACACCATTTATAGGGTATCACATCTATCCTCCGACACCTTGAGAACGCTGTGGTCCCTACTGGGTGTTATGTAAAATGTGATGCTCTCATAGACACATCATATGCGGTTATGCATTGCAAATGGCAGTACACGCATGGTTTTATACCCCTGTGAAATCGTAAAATAATAAAGCAGACTTATTCCGTGAAATACCAGAATATTCCTGCACAAGATAGACGTCATATCCCACCTATTAACCTTTATTACCTTACGCTTAGATTACGGAAGTCCCATCAAATGAATGAAGATTAAAAAAAAAAAAACGCATATTTGTCTGTTATCATTTAGGGACATTAAACTTTGTAGTTATCGAAATGCTAATTATTAATTTATGGCTCAAATAACATGCTTCTCAAAGCAACACATGTTCTCCACCCCAAGACATCAAGCATCGTATTCGGCGTAGGCTTTCCTATGCCCGTGCCCACACGCCCGCGTGCGGGCGCGCGCTCATTCCCTGCCCTAAAATTCATAACAGACTGCCGCTTCAAAAGTTGCATTCTGGCTCATTTCCCGTCATTGAGCATATGTCTAATGTACTTTTAACCACTGCAATGAAAATTAGATTGTTGACGTCTCTTTGAGCTGCGGTTCAGCAACGTGACGATACACAATAAATCCCTGATATCGGTCCACTTCTAGTTCTCATTACTTTTAAAAGATAATCATTATACAAGAGCGCCCCCTTGTCGTATATTTTATTACCTCATCGTCTTTGTCGGTATAATTAGTTCCTGTATTATTTTAGGACATACCTTTAGTGTCACAAGTTATCAGTTTGACACATCCTGAATTTTGTAAGCAAACAACAATATTTTCCTTTTTGTTAGACTTACTCCAGAAAACCTCAGCCATTTATAGTGAATGCTCCCTTTGGTATCTCAGGCATGGAGAGTACGCAAAGTTAATACCTCATTTCATCGATATTTCTCTAATTTTTCACATTTTAAAAATCTAACCAACAAGGATTGAGTTAAAATAATGTTCAGCATAGACTTACCATATTTCTTACTTCCTTCACTCAAAATATTTACCGCGACAAAAAAGCTGTGTCGAAGGCGGACAGTTTTTTATTATTTTTTAATCTGGTGCTCACATTAACACGACACGAGTTTTCGTGTACGTAACAACCAATATACTGTTTTCTTACGCAACACGTCGATGCCATTTAAAGCTTATTTAAAAGGCAAATAATTGATAAAACTGATATGGTTTGGCATATACAAAATGCAGTCAGTTAGAACCAAAAATGTATGTTACATAGACCCTGCCTTGCCTCTGTAATTTTAAAAAGGGGGTCGCGCTGGGAATCCAATTCAAGCATGTTTTTCGGATTTTTTAATGACACCACATTAGATACACGTCACGAAACAGTCATTCAATCGACACGACAAATTTTATTTATTTATTTAGAGTAGCATACTTTGGTGAGTGGGCTGTTTGAGCGACACCTGAATATAATTTTCGGCGATTAAACAAGTATTGGCTATAAAGAAAAAAACAATTCATTGTATGTACTTACAGAATTCCCCTTCCACAAAATTCCAAAATTGTAGCTTGAAATGGCATTGTAATTAAGTCTTCCATTAAGCAACCTTTGGTTGGATTTGAATAATTATTTCCACTGAACAATCCTCTAACTTCACCAATCCGATTAATCAGGTAAATCCAATCGTCTTCATTGCCTTCGGTTTCCTCTGTTCAGTCCTTCGCTCTGTATTGCATTTCGACAGTTTTTTTCAACGATGCTGAAACAAATGCATGAGGATCTGTTAGAAATGTGTAATATGTGGGCTAATTCTGCGGTGGGACTGCCGGACAGCTCCGAGGATATCAGCTCTGCATTCCTCGCAGTTTCTCCGGGAACTGAGCAGTTCTGTCAGACACACATCCATGAGGTGAACGGGGGAATTACACCCATATGCAGCTTCATTACGCTTATTGAGAAAATAAGCAAGGAATGCGGTAAACTACAAATGATCGAAGCACTGCTCTTTAATAGTAAATATGTACAACTGTACTAGAATTGCGGAAGAATAACTGAAAAAGTTCGGCGAGCCTCTCAGTCTAAAATGGCCCGGTAAAACACTCGCAAGCCTTTTGATGTATTTTGAGCTATTTGATGTATACTTCGTAATAGCATCCCAGTTATGAATATTTACGAAATAATGTAATGTGATTAAAAGCGTGTAGATCTGTGTCACGTGGTTTCCCATTGACGCTACCTGTTGGGATCTTCATCTGTTACGCTGAGTGATATTCGCACCTTCTCAGGGACGCATTGCAAAGGATCTATAGTGATCCTCCCTGGATCATCAATGACAGGGTTACCGTTTCTAAACTACGGATGCTTATTGCCAATGAGATTATTTGGTATTGGGAAAGCAATAACAAATAACCTGCCATCTTTTTGGGGGATATTTCCGGAGTCCATAATATTATACAACAGCACTAAAGTGTTGTGTTAGTAAAATCATTAACATGACTAGAAACAGAAGTAAACGATCGCATTTACTGAACGCTATCGCTTGCAGCAAGACGCACACGCTTGACTAGTTTTATTTATTTGAGCTGGGACGTATTACGTTAAATGCGCGCAGAGGCAATTAATGAAATAGATTTTAATGGATGTTTTTGGGGTGGGTATTTTTATGCAAATTGAAAACTACGCTTCAGTGCTAATAGCTGTTACAAACGGAAACCAAGATTCGAAAGTTGCGGACAATTGGAGGTCTGAATAAAGTATAACATTGAACAAAGCAGTTAAACGATTCATTAAATTCATTGTACTGGCGCATAATGAAACAAGGTTGGCTTTACAAACCGCCATTGCCACAATAATAAAGAATGACTTTTAAATATTTTAAAATGAAATTTGGCGTTTCTGTTCTTATTTTATGAAAATTCAATGTAATCTAATTCGTAGAAAGTATCTTTAAAATAATGATATAGCCTACGTATTGCCTCACGGTTTTTCGCTCTTTAAAAGAAATATATAGCTTTTGGATTTATTTCTATAGCCTAAATGAATGGGCTGTTATTGTGAAAGCATTTCAGCCTTTGTTTAATATTTTAGACAGTAACGCATCATTTTATGCGAAATTTAAACTAATGCATTAATGTCACATCTTGAATAAAACAAGTCAGTTTAGTGAAATGCCTGGATATGGCAGGGTCGCACTTGAGCATTTATACAGAAATGTAACAGAAACGCGATGCGTGGACTCCTTCAGAAACTTGTATATGGCCATAAACTGGGTTTGGCTTGACTAGAGGTGTTGACAATGGTTTACAAGAGCAATTTGTGTAAAATGTGCACTCTTTTTGTTTCTTCTTCCAGTAGACTCATCAGTCCTGATTTCAGCACAACCATATTATAAATACCGATATTTAGCGATAATAAAACGCATGCAGATGAAAGTAAATGCAGGGAAGAAACCATATTTCACTAAAGCGGAACTTCGTTTGTTTGTTGGTTACCTGATTTTGCATAACCTTTGGTTTCAGGTTTGCATTTCGTATATCCTTGTCATGCCACACAAGTGGTCTGGTCTTTAAAAACCATTTTACGACACTTAGAGCGGGGTAGCAGTTATTAGTATAAGGAGCACCTTTGCAAGTCGGCATGAGTCTTCTGTGCACAAGCAGCCTCCAAAACATGACGTGAACAGATATTCCCAGTGCTGATGATGCAGATCCACTCATCCTGAGGCGAATCAGATCCACTGTAGCTGTGGCCGCCCCACATCCTGTTAACAGGATGATGAGGACTCATTGCTCAGAGGTATTGTAGCACCCGATACTGATACTACAAATTTACACTCAGTGGCCCCTTTAATAAGTTCACCTAGCTAGTACCAGGTAGGACCCACTCTCGTCACCAGAACCATTTCAAGGGTAGACGAGTTGTGTGTTCAGAGAAGCCTTTCCTCACATCACTGTATTGAACACTGTACCGTGCTCTTACAGCTGCATTTGCGGGATTTCAGGTAGCTTTAGCAGATCTGTTCATTCTCCGCTGACCTCTCTTATTAACAAGGCATTTTCAGCCACAGAAAAGCCACATTCAGAACTGCTTAGATCAGGCATCATAGTCATTCTAGTGCTTAGCCACACAGTAAGTGAACCTCCTGACCCTGTCTGTGTGCTGTATGTATCCAGGTACAGCAACACGATTCCCTGTTTGAAGGACCAGGCTGTTTTCATTAGCGGGCAGTGCATGTCAGAAATTGTCAAGCTAGAGTTTGGAAGAGTTTTCTGTTCCTTAAGTAGTCAGCTAAGAAAATTCAATTAGAATTCATCATTTTACTGCTTATCGATTATTTTCCAATTTGAGTTATTCTAAAAGTGTTATGATTTTTAATAAATGTAGGCTAATAATTGTTTTGTCCAGGGTACTGATATTCGATAGTGCCACAATTAATCAAAGAATCAATATATGATATACACTCAGGCAATTTTGAGCTTGAGAAGCCCCCCCAGGTCATTGATTAAGCACAGTAATTTTTTTTCTGTTGTGTTGTAGAGTGGGGATCTGCATGCAGACAGAAAACAAGTTGACTGTGTTAACCAGTGATTTAAGTGAAGGGAGATATGAGCTTTCACAGCAGATACCCACCGTTAAGAGGGCAGCTCAGTGGTACTTAATGCGACTCCACCAGTGTGCTCCTGCTTTCTTGTGTGTTTTTGCAAAAGTTCAACGATTTGAACTGCTAAAAAAAAACAGACCATTGACAATAACAACTATATTCATAAGCATAAAAAATAGCCTTCTGTTCATCAAATCATACAGACAATTTACAAGTCATATGTTATTGTGAATCTCTTCAAATAGCTATGTACATTGTGCATTTATGCTGTAGCCTTAAACATGTAATAGTACTTATTAAAGGAAACTAAATATGCATTGAACAAAAATGTATTTCTCTTGGACATCTATGTTGGAATTTAATAAATTCTTGCATGCGTTACCATTCGCATAAGTGCTGTTTATTGCAGGGTAGATGTTTGCTTTACCTGCCTAATTAATGTGAACAGGTGCACCCGGCTCCCACGTCACAATAACAATGGAAATAAATACTGCGCTAGCAAGTTGTTACTCTTTCTAAGCAATATGGTGTCTGTAACTAAGTAGCACAAAACCTACCAGTCACAAACAGTGAAGGGTTTTTAAAATGATCAACTATGATTACTTCTGTCAAAAACACTGTGTGAATGTGTGTCTGTGTATGGTCATGTATATATTACATTGTGGGAAACAATTGTGTTAAAAACCTGTTATTCTGACTTTATGGGAACAGTTTCAGTCCTCACAAGAGGAAACTCAATTGTATAAAAATCTGTGACTGCAATAAAAAATCTTCTGTTTTCCTTGGTTACCTATAGTTAAGGATAGGGCTGGGTGGCGGTTAATTAAGGTTGTCATTGTTTGTGATTTTCCCATAGAAATGAATGGATGGTTCCCACAGATATGAATACAGACGTGTGAGTGTGTGTGTGTGTGTGTGTGTGTGTGTGTGTGTGTGTGTGTGTGTATATTAACATGCATCCGTGTATTGTGATAATTATTTGTTCAGTTTTGAAGCCCTGTATGTTGGGTACATTCACTTAATGGACACCAGTCGGGACACACCTAGCCACCTAATTCTGGTGTTTCCTTCAGACACATTACCACAGGTGAAATAAAATCAAGCACCTAGCCATGCATTCAGGTTTACAGGAGAACATTACCTGCCTGACTGCACTATGCCACCTGTAAAGTATGGGGTTGCTTTTCAGGGGTTGCACTAGGCCCCTTGGTTTCAGTGAAGGGACCTCTTAATGCAGGAGTGTCAAACTGCAGTCCTGGAGGGCCGGAGCCCTGTGTAGCTTAGTTCTTTCCCTGTTCCACCACAAATGATTCAGCTCAAGAGCTGTGTGAAAATTAGCACAAGGAGGTGAATCAGGTGTGTTACATGAGGGGAAACCCAAAAATGTGCAGGGCTCCGACTCCCCAGGATTGAAGATTGACACCCCTACCTTAATGCTTCTAAAGATATTTTGGATAACTCAATGCTTCCACCTTTATGGGAGCAGTTTGGGGAAGGCCTTTTTCTGTTCCAACATGACTGTTCTCCCAGTGCACAAAGCAAGGTCCATAAAGACATGATTGGTGACTTTGGTGTGGAAGAACTTGACTGGCCAACATAGATCCCTGACCTCCACGCCAACTAGAACCTGAGCTTCACGTCCAACATGAATGCCTGACCTCACAAATGCTCTTCTGGATGAA